CCAAAATTTGCCCTCTCATGTTTTCCAAGATCTTTTCTTACATGGTTGGTTACAAGTACTTGCCTAAAGAAAATGAATATTTTTTTGAAGGTAATCAAATGTCTTTCAATTGGCATCTGAACAAAGTGTCTTTCGATTGACGTCTTGACAAGATTCGATTGGGAATCTAAATCCTTTGAGCAAGATTTGTTTCAAAGTCTTTGATTAGGCATTTGGCACTCTTTGATGTAGGTCTAATTCACAAGCTTTGAGTGGACGTTGGGTCCCCCTTCGATCACGTCTAAATCACAAGGCTTCGACTGGGCATTAGCTACTTCAGATTTGCCTTCGATTCAAAAGGCATAGGCTTCCTCAGGTTTGTCTTGGATTCACAAGGGCAAAGGTTTCTTCTATGATTACTTTCAATGCACAGGGCCAATACCCCTCAACACATTTTCTGCACTATGACACACAATATGATCCCTTCAAAAGAGCACTAGAAAGGTCCATTCGAAGGACACACATTGAGCCATTTGAAGGAGACATATAATTATTGAATGCAAGTTTGTCTTATGATGGGTCTTGGTCCTACACGTGGCCAGAACCAGGCCTTTTGTGCAATGACATTCGAAGGATGTGACAAAGGAGGCTTCGATTGGCCAAAATGAAGTTTTTGTTTGGGTTATTTGAATCAAGCAGCTAAGGCAAAAAGATGGGTCTCAATCGAAGGAGCTATAATAATATACCTGTGGTCCATTCGAAGGAGATAATTCTGGCCCAACCGAAGAGCAATGATAAGGGATACTTCAAAGGCATGATATTATCCTTTAATTGGCATATCAGAGAAAGATTAAGCAATCAATGCAGAAGCTGACTGATTGAAGAAGCTCTAATGGATAAGTTTTTGAATACTTCGAATCAAAACTCTAGGCCAATCGAAGAGCAACGCTGGAGGGCATTCGAAAGAGCCAAATGTGTCCAGGTTCATAGCAAATTCAAAAAGGGACAAGAAACCATGTCTTTGGAAAAGTTTCAAAGTGATATTCATGGCCTTAAAACACCAACTTAATGGTTGTTTATTCCTTTGCCCTCTTGTCCCCTTCATCCCCTCTATATAAGGAGCACACTAGCAAACTTCAAAGACGAGAAGAAAAAATAGCCTGAAAGAGTCATACGAAATTGCAAAAAGTAAGCAAAGTTGTCAAACTCCAAAACACGTTTCCAGCCATCCTCAGCCCAAACAAAGGACTCAAACACGTTCCTGAAGGTCCCCTTAAGCTTTTGCAATCATTACCACACCCTGAAGCATCACGAGACGTCCTAACCAGCTCTCACGGTTTGATTTCTTTTTCAAATTCGTTTATTTGATTCATGTGATATAAGCTTGTTTCAACCATGTATATTTGTTCATATGAATGTTTACAAGCTTTTTGTATAGCTGGATTTAAGTTTTGATGCAGGTACGGTGCTTGGCCATGGTTAGGATTTAGACCTCTGAATTGGTTTTTTTTCCGAATCAGCCAAAATTAGACCCAACTAAGGATACCATCGTGCTCAGGAAGTCGAGGCCAATTGATCCATGGTCTCACATTTAATTTATGCTGCATATTCTGGATGTTTAGAGATGCAGGTGATATAGTGACAAACAAAAACTGTCACCATAAGTTTCTATACCTAAAACGACGGAGCAAGGAAGAAGACAAGGCGTGACAGTTTTCCATTGGCCCATTCAAACCCAGTGCACGTTTTTTTTTCTTCATTTTTAATATATCTGACCAATTTTTCTTATATTATATCATTTTTTTATTTTATGTAATGAATAACCAAGTAGCTCAGCTAGCAAGGCGCGTTTGTATGAAGGGAGAAGACCTGGGTTCGAGTCCCAGGTCCAGCATTTTCTCATTTTTCTAAAAATATTCATACATATCCCATGTAAAGCATGGTCATATGTGCACCATGCACCCTCAGTCTAGGCCATCAGATGTACATCTGATCCAAGCCAGACATCGAAGCGCGCAATATATCATATGCCTTCAAGATACTTGGCAGATTCTTCAAGATCACTCTCTGAGTCCTCTTCAGACCAAGTAACAGACAAATTCTTCTTTTGTTTCTTAAGATATGTAGGACATTCAGCTCTAATGTGACCAAATCCTTCACATTCATGACATTGTACTCCCTTCCCTTGAGTGGATTTTTCTTCAGCCCTTTTTTTTCCAAACTCATTTGACTTATGGATGTCAGATGAGATGTTCTTAACATTTGATCTTTGGTTGCTATCCATTCTTTTTATCACTTTGTTAAAATGTCTTTCAAGCATAGCTAAGGAATTTGATATTCCTCCATCTGTATCCAGATCACAATCTTCCTCTTCAGTATTTGATACAAAGGCTATGCTTTTGTTCTTCTTTTTAGATCTTTCATTGATGCTTAATTCAAATGTCAGGAGGGATCCAACAAGTTCATCCACTTTCATTTTGTCAATGTCTTGAGCTTCTTCTATAGCAGTCACTTTCATATCAAATCTCTTGGGAAGAGACCTGAGCATATTTTTCACCAATTTGTCTTCAGGTATTTTCTCTCCTAATGCACTGGATGCATTAGCAATTTCAAGAATGTTCATATGGAAGTCATTAATAATTTCATCATCCTTCATTCTCAAATTCTCAAATTTTATGGTAATCAACTGAAGTCTTGACATCTTAACTTTGGATGTGCCTTCATGAGTAGATTGAAGAATTCCCCATGCATCATTGGTTACTTCACATGTGTTTACTAATATGAAAATATTCTTGTCAATTCCATTGATTATAGCATTCAAGGCTTTAGAATTTCCAAGAGCAATTTCATCTTCTTCTTTAGACCAATCTTCTTATGGTTTTAACTCAGAAGTAGGTTCTCCATTTTCTCCCAATTTGACAGGGTGTTTCCATCCTTTTAAAACAGCTTTCCAAACCCTGCTGTCCAAAGACTTTAAAAAGGAAATCATACGAGGTTTCCAGTAGTCATAATTACTTTCATCTAGAATGGGTGGTCTGTTCACAAATCCTCCATCCTTGTCCATAGTACCAGAAAGTATCTTCCCTGGATCTCACTCAAATAAAGAGCAGGATGCCTGTTCTGATACCAATTGAAATTCTAGTATCAGATATGTGATGTCGAATGAGATGTCACGACACAAATATCTGTTTACAAGTAAAGAGCAGTAATAACAAAAGCAGTAAAAACACAAGAGATTATTCACCCAGTTCAGTGCACAACAACACCTACTCTGGGGGCTACCAAGTCAGGGACAAGTCCACTAAATAGTAACAATTCATAGACCCTCAATAAACAATCAGTTTACGATCTAATCACTACCTGTGCTATATTTCTACCTAAGACTCACCTAGGTATGAGACCCTCCTCAAATCCCTTCAATCACTTACAATGAAGAAACAACAGAAATAATAAGTTTAAAAACTTTAACCATTCAACGCTTAAAAGCTTATGAATGATACACAATTAATAATCCAAATAACAACACAAGTATTAAATCAATACTAGAGTGTTTGACAATTAAAGGACTTAGACTTCTAACAGAAAGAAAGTATTCTTTTTCAAAAGTTGCAGTGGTTTGAATAAGGAAGCAAGTCCTTATATATGCACAGCTGTGGGCTTGGGCTTAAAATCAAATATTCAATTCTTTTGAATATTTCCTTAAAAACAGGCCAAGATAAAATTCATGCAGATAATTCAAATAGAAAAATATTCCTCCATATTTTTCACAGCCTATGAGTCACAAATCCTGAATTATGGTGTGCAGGAAATCAGGAAACAGAAAACATAAACTGATGTTGGCTGAGTTCAGTTCAGGAGACAGTTGTCAAGACATCTGCTTTGACATCATTCAAAACAGTTTGTTACAAATGTCAAGACATTCAGCAAAACATTAACAACACATTGTTTTACCAAAATTGCTGGCAAGAAACACTTACAAAGAGAAAGTAGAAAGAATCCAGCAAAATAATCGCCTCTATGGACAAAAAATTCCACTTAGAATTCCAGCGGGATGATCGCCTCTATGGAAGGTAAAGATCCTACTTTGGGATTTAGCAAAATGATCACCTCTATGGAACGATCTTCTCTTAAACTTTTAGGTTTTCAAAAAAAAAAAATAATAGTCAACAAATATAAATTCTAAAAATAATAAAAGCAAAGTGCCTCGTTAAAATTCATAGATATAAGAGTGCACCTCATGAAATAACTTGTCTTTACAATCTGACATAGATATAACACCAGCATTAGTTGTTACTTGACTAGAGATCTATACACGCCACAAAAATCATATGCAGATAAATGTATTATCTGGTTAAAAAAGCAATATTGTAGTTTTAGTGTTGAATATGAATGGTAGTTATATTAGAGTTGATGGCTGAGCCGGTGCAGTTGAACTAATCCGAAGGAATGATGATGATACAACATTTTAGGAATCACTAACATCAGATTCGAATAGACTTGGTTTATAAAACGCCTATGAAATTCCATAGCTTTACTTCCTTATAGTCAATTTTCAAAAGATTCTTAGTAAGGAGTGAGCTATCACTATCAAACATTACTTTTGTGAAGTGAACGCTTACGCAAACTATCTATCTAAATCAATTTCAATAAATATTTTATGCATAACTAGTTTATTATTTTCACTTGCTAATCACTAGACCGATTCAATTTCCATAAATATTATATATATAAATAGTTTATTATTTTCATTTGCAACATGGTTTTGTATGTACTTCAATGTCAAAGTTAGAAATGAAGAATCAAGTACATAATTTCCACACAACAATTTGAAATTAAATTCAAAAACAGATACTACAGATCCTCTTGAACATCACATGTTCAATTCACACTCTTATTTATTTATTTATTTATTTATTTATTTATTTATAATACTCTACTATATTTAATTATATATATTATATTTATATTATATTATATTATTATTATTATACATACTTGTTATATTACATAATATTATCTTTTCATTTCTTCCTCTTTGGTGAAGATGGTGTGTCTTTATTATCCGCCGCATCATTTCCAGCTGTATTACTATTATTCCCATGCTGCTGGTTTTTCTGTGCTTTTCCGGTTTTCTTCGCCTCTGGTTTTGTTCCTTGTTGCCTCACTTTAACTCCTCTTATCATCTGCATCACACATTATATCCCCACCAATTAATTCTCACCCTTTTGAAAAAAGAAAAAAAAAATCATCTAATAACTTTATAGATCTCAAGAAAATAATAAATATTAATCAAGGTTTTAAATAATGGTCATAGTTGCATAAAGACTTTTTCGAATTAGGGTTTTATCGTGACCGTTTTCGTAGTAATGAACCGTATTATAAAAGTGTGATAACAATATTAATAATGATATATTAAGAGAAGGCTCTTACAAATTTGCCACACTTCACATCAGAATATAATACTATGAAATCACCCTCTTGGAGTCCATTAGCTTTAACAAAGTCACCTATATAAAATGAATGAATATATGAAATATAATTGTGAAAAAATAAAAAAAAATAAAAAAACAGCAAACTCTAATGAATAAGAGCAACAACTCACCAGTGTTTTCAAGTAAATACATTCTGCTTTTGTTATTTGGCCAATATCTGATGCTCCAAGAAGAAATAATAATCGAAAAAAGAAAATTTTAGTCTCAATGCATTATCATATATGTATAAAATAAAATGAATTTGTCGATGAAATTTTGATTAGTTAATTACCTATAGCGCATATTCCAAACTCGAGAAGTTCCGATATCTTCCATGGTAATGGTGATTCCATCTCTTGCCTCGAGTTCAGGCAAATGAGTTTCGGCTTCTTTCTGATCAAGTTTTTGCAACCAAATGTATGAATCAATAACAAAAATGAGTATTTATGAATGTAGTAAATAATGAACTAATAAGAGAAAAATGGAGAAAAAAATTAATAATTACTTTTGGCAAAACAATTCTCCCCAAACTTCCAACGTCACTTTGCTTCAACACCTTTTGTAGAAGGAACTTCAAGTTCTTCTCCGGCTTCCAACCCTATAAATCAAACAATGGTTATAAGTTGCAATTATCATGTAGTTCAGCTGTGATGCCGTGGCAGATACATCTATTGCCTACGCATGCGGACCACAATTTAAAAGTTTTAGGCTACGAAGCACGGACACATTTGCAAAAACCTCTTAAACCGTTATATTGCCTCCGCATGCAGATCATAGTTTAAAAGTTTTAGGCTATGAAGCACGGACACATACAACGGACACGACACTCACATGTTGATACCAGTAATAATTTGAAAACATGAATAAATTGAACGCATTCACAAGTGTCAAACACGTACTTGCCGTAGGCATTGGTGCTATATAGGTTATTGGTGCAAAGCAAGTTCATTAACAAATTGTCTTTTCATAAACACCCACTTGTGAGGATCACACAGTTATAACATTTATAACCAATACAAATAATGTTACAAATTATGATTCACAAACCTGTTTCTTATCCAATGCATTTCGACCCTGATGAGAATTCTGTGTCTGATTGTTGGTGCGGTCGCGTTCCACTGGCGGCTGCACAGGCTCAGCCGGAACAGCAGTCGCTTTCCCACCAGCCATACTCTGCCAATACATCCAGTTACCTTGATTCGCATGAGAACCAACACCTGCGCCATTGGTGCAATTATGACCACCACCACCACCCAATCTTGCACCCGAATCAGAACCTTGGTTCTGAAGATGATGATTCTGATGATTCCTATGATGAGGAACAAACCTTCGTTGTCTCGCCATTCTCTTCTTTCTAGCTTCTTTTGTAGCAGAAGGACCTAACCTCATTAACCTATCACCACCACCACCATGAAAAAACTGATACGAACCATATTGATTTCCATATCCTCCAAAACTCAAACCATGAGGTTGTAGAACATTGTTGTTGCTATCCACAAATGACGGTTGATTGTAATTTGGAACAACATTGAATTGATGATACTCATTACCAGAACCATGTTGGTAAAGGTTAACATTATGGTTAACGTTATTCGAAACGGAACCATTTGTATAATGAACATCACCAACATATCCAACACCAACCATCGGTTGCAAAAATTGTTGTGGAGGAACAACAAGAGGTGTTTGTGTTTGCGTTTGTGTTTGATCTATCCATGAAGTTTGGTTAAAAGATGTGTTTGTTGAGTTTGGGTTCGGACATAGATCTTGAAACTGCGGCGGTGTATGTTGAGGAACAAGAATTGAGGTTGTTGAGTTATTGTTGTTTTCTTTGAGCCTTTTGCTTTGAAGATGACTAGTTTGAACCCATTCAAGAATAAGCTTCAACAATTGTTTCATCCCTTCTTTTCCACCACCTAATCTTCTAGCAGCACTTTCAATTGTCGATTTCTTAAGCTTCACATTCCTCAAATCATTCGCCGATACACTATCTTTGTTCGATTTCAGCCATTCCAAGAAAACATTACTCATCTCATCATGAACACCATCATTAACACCATCAAAATTGAGGTCTAGTTTTGTTTCACCATCATCATGCACCACTATAGGAACTTGTTGATGCTGTTGTTGTTGTACTAGAACTTGTTCGTGTGTGAAATCATCAACTAAAGGGTTTTCTTCTTCGGTTTGAAAAATCGAAGCAGGGTCAAAAAACTCATTGGTTTCTAAAAGCTCCATGTAGCCAAAAGTATCCATCATAACATCCTCCATGCAATCACCACCAACACCAAGATCTTGTTGTTGTTCTTGTTGAGGAATCTCTACAGTTGCATGTTGACCATGATGATGATGATCTAATGGACCATGCATGTTCAAAAAACCTTGATTATTACTATTATCATGATGATGATCTTCTTCAACTTCTGATTTCAAAACAGCCCAAGAAGCTGCAGAGGAAGAAGACGCAGAAGAGGAAGAAGATGTTGCAGTTGTAGTTGTAGTAGTTGAAGTAGTACATGCAATGGTTTTCAATGGAGTTGAACATGATGAGGATGATGATGTTGATGAACATGATGCTGATGACATGCATGGAAAATCAGGTAAAGATGGAAAATCAGCATAGAACACAGATGCATCATCATTCATATTCATACCTAAAAGATCATCATCATCATCATCTTGATGATTTGTAGCATCATTAATCCAAATCTCTCTCTCAGAAACCGCTACTAATTTTTCTTTTTCTCCTAAACTTCCAAAACCATCTTCTTCTCTTTCTTTCACCATCTTTGCATGCAGATCTAAACCACACTCCATAACAAGTTTCAAACTTTAAGACACCCTTTTGTTGAATTATTCTTGTGGTGCAATTTTTTTCCACAGATAGTGTATGAAATATGATACTATTTGAGGAGAGAGAAAAATGGATAATTTTTTTTATGTACTTATCAAGTACAAAAGGAAAAGATCTGAAACATTGTGAAGTTGTTGTGTCTAATTAAGGAATCAAAATAAGATAAGATTCTTTAAAATCCTATAAATGGATTATGCAACAGAAAACATCTGATTCTTCTCTCAACAACAAAGAAAAAACACAACCCAAGTTGGATTTATCATAACAAAATATATTAAATTATTAATAATGAAAACCCTCTCTTACCTTCAATGAAAGCGACTTTCACTACTACAAAAGTGCTTTTTTTTAATTGATTTTTTATTAAACATTAAACAATCCCATACAAGAACAATAACATAACAACATAGGATTTTTGAAAGAACATGGATGAAGAAAATTGAAAGGACTACTAAACTTGATTTCTTTGGCTATTATCAAAACCAAAAATATCAAAACTTTAGACAGAAAACAAAGAGAGTGAACAAGGATAATAATGATTGTTTCTTCACAAACCCAGAAAGAAACCAATCAAGATTTGATTGAAAAAAACATAGTTCTGGTTTGTTCTAGGAAGTTACATTATTTATTTTTCTTCTCTTTTTAAAATAAAAATAAATAAATATTTTCTCTTAGATAAGTTCAAAATGGTTTGGTGGTTTTTGAGAGAAAAGGTAGTTTTGGTTTTGAATGAAAGGAAAACAAGATTCTTGTGCCGCTAGTTTTGTCAAATGAGGTACTTGGATTCTGTGTTTTATAGACATTCGTTGAAATCTTAGTGGTGATACTAAACGGTGACACAGTCTTTATGAGAAAGTAATAGGTCTTCTGCTGCACAAAGAGAAATTTAATTTTATTTAGGTGACCTTTGGATTTATTATTACTTACTACTACTACTTCGTTTTTAATTAGTTTGGTTAGATAAGTTGTTTAAATTTCTTTTTTTACCAAAAAAATCTTATTTCTATCATTTGTTAGTAATAAATTTTATTGTGTTAATCATTTACTTGCATAGAGAAAATGTCATGATAATTGAGAGTTATGTCAAGAAATTAATAAGAGTTTTTTTTTCAAGGGTTAATAGTCATTTATTCTCTTATCATATAGGTTTTATTCGAAAAAATTTCCAATAAAAAAAAATCACATGATTTCCCCTAACATTTAAAAAAAGTCTCTTATAAAATCTTAGACTGGTTAACTCATCTAAAATGGCGATGTGGTGGTATTTTTTTAATTATTTTCATTATTTTTTATTTTCACATGTGTTTACATACTTTTGCTTGGACAAAACTACTCTTAGTTGAGAAACATAACATAATCTTAAAAACTCATCAATCACTCTCCTTTTCCACTAACTTTTCGTTGTCTAACCTAATCCATAATCCCTAAATGTTCATAACCCAGAAATTTCACAATGCATGTTCATTGGTCTCACTGATGGTATGAAACATTGATGTATTAGGTAGTTGTTTTACACGAAGACCAGGTTCGTTTATTCATTCAAGGATCGTTGCGACAGGGACAAGTGTTTTGTTGTTCTAAAAAAGGTACGATCTTCGAATTTTTTTTATTAATAACCATGTATTAAAAAAATATTTCGCAAATAACCGGGTTTCGAAAAAAATTACGCAAATAACCATGTTTGAGATGGCTCCACAAAGGAGGAGCCATCTCAATTGGCGCATGCACCTCATTTTTTAAGGGAGGCGCCATCTCACTTGCCGCCTAAGTGCTTAGGGCATGCCCTAAGCCAAGTGAGATGGCGCCTAAGTATAATTTTAGGGCAAAAAAATTTTTTTTAAATTTTTTTTCCTGTGCGTTGCCTATTGGACAGAGATCAACAAAATGGACTTTTTATTAAAAAAAAAAATTACATTCAACTGTATTACATTAAAAGAACAGTAAAAAAAATGGTTCCAAAAAAGACTGGAAAAAAAAAAGATACATCAGTGATCCCCCGGAACCCGGTAATGACCCCCGGTTCCGCATCCCCGTCCTCGCCTTTCTCTTGCTGGGTGCCGTCGCGTTTCCTGCTGCGGCAAGGTCGATGGCCCAGCGAAGTCAATGCGGTCCGAATCCATAAAATCAGTAAGATCTCCATATCTCGAAGATCCGCTCTGGTACAGTCGGTTACCCATACCCTCAAAGTTTGGTCGTGTTGGCGGTGGGTGGGGTTCCATGGTTGGTCGGTAGCATTGGTCGTCTGAGTATGAGGGGTAGAAAGGAAATGGATCTTGGGGTGTTTGGTATTGTGGATGTTGGGTGGTTTGGTGATATGGTGGGTGATGGTAGGTTTGGTCGGCTTGGTCATAATCTTCCGACATTCCCATATCAGGGCTAAGGCTGGATGTTGAGGGCGCCATATTGGGATATGTGGAAGACTGAAATTGTGTCTGGGGTATGTGGGTGTGCTGGTATTGGGATTGGTATTGTGGTTGGGTTTGAGGCATATTCGGGTATTGGTAGTTTGGTGGTGATTGTGGTTGGTAGTACGGCATTTGATTGTTATTGTGTTGTAGTGGGGAATGTGGTTGGGTGTTTGTGGGTCTGTTTCTTCTTGGGGGTTGGTTGGAGGTTGATGGGTTTTGGGTTTGTTGATGGGGAATTGAGGGTTGTGCCCATTGTGTGCGTGGGTCAATCAAGTACCTCGGATGAGACACGTGCATTTCTGGGTTACTGACCGACCTGTACCACGACATATATTGATCCGTGTGTCGCATGTTACCTTGAGTAAGGAAAACCGGGGATTGCAAGATGTAGCGGTGACGCCTCTGCCACATCTTACACCATTCCGGAGCAAAGTCTTTCCAGTTGGTAAGACCCCACTGGGCGTCGACCCTTTTAAGATGCCAGGGGGACAAATCTGTTGGATCACTTGGTATCTCTTGATGCATTCCGAACTGCATCTTCACACGGTCGCTGTGGTGCATCTCCACAATGTTGAACCGAATGAGTGCAGTCTTTGCAGTCCAAGTTGCTGCATCCTCTGGGTTTGGAGCATGGCCCAAACCCAAATATGGTCTCCAGACGAACTGCGATAAAATTTAAATCAGGTTAGCGCAAAAGTAATGTATAAATAATTAAAATGAACAAAAGTTAAAAGCTACGACGTACGTCATCTGGGCCTAAGTGATCCAACAGATTCCGGTAGAGTGCGACATTGAATCTTGGATTCTTGTCGTAATCCATACCCCTCACGCAGTACCTAAAGGAAATGAGAAACATGTTATTTTTAGCATATATTTTGGAAAGAGCAGAATAGTTATAAATGCTATAACTTAATGACTTACTTTGTTGCGTACGAGAAACCAAAAGTGTTGTTGTTGATGGGGTTTAAGGACTCCATCCTCCACTAACCCCAGGCTTGTAGTAAAAATGCGCACCCATAAAATGTACATTTTTCCTTGACTGCGTTTTTGCACAAGAAACTGTATAGGTGGGCTAATACTGCAGAACCCCAACTATATTTTCTAGTTTTTTCAAAATTTGTTAGTAAATGTAAGTACATAAAATTTACACTATTTCCCGTACTTTCGGGAAATAAAAATGTACCAAAAAGTATCATAAGATACGTTCTGGCTTTTACTACTCGGTCATTCTCTGAGGAATTTTCATTTAATTCCATACTTGCATAATGACGTTTCAGGTCAGTGAGTAGTATTCCCTGCCCTCTTGCTCCACCACCTTCTACCATATCCCTACCCAACAGTTCTTCACACTGTGAGTTGGGTTGTTGAACCGACCCGTTCACCGCCTTACCATCGATAGGGAGGCCCAGTAGCATGTACACATCCTCGAGCGTGATGGTACATTCACCTATTGGTAGGTGAAATGTATGGGTCTCCGGTCTTCACCTTTCCAACATTGCAAGAATGAACTTTGAGTCAATGGTGCATTTGGAGATCTTTATCACATGTCCAAAACCTGCATATTCCAGATAAGGGACGATAAATGGGTCGGGAGCCAGGTAGTTGTGCGAACGGATTCTGAATCTTTTTGTGTCCTGAGATCATAATTTAACAGGTGTAAGATTAATTAAGATGAACAACACGTTATTTGAAGTATGAAAAATGTATAACCAAAGAAGAGACTTACAAATGCAGCAATGTTTTCCCTTGTGTCTCTGTGAGTATCGCCCATTGTTAGAAGAGCCATTGTTCAGAATGCTTGAGAGTATGAAAGACTTAGGAAGAGATAGAGAGTATGATAGACTTAAGAAATATTTCGTAGCAGAGAGTGAGAGTTGTATGGGTGTGAGAGATGTTTCATAAGGTATGTATTTATAGGCAAATAAGTTTGATGTAGTGGTTGCTTGTGCTTGCATGCCTGCGAAGTGTCACATTTGCATGCTTAGGGGGTTACACATATGCATGCATGCATTTACAAAAAATGTAAGGTGTCACTCTTGCAGGCTAGGTGGCAGCCCATGCATGTATCACGATTGGACAGTAAGGGAGGCGCCATTGGACTTGGCGAAAGAGTACAAAAATGAATGGTGTCGCCACCCCATTTGGCGAATAAGAGGTGTCATTTGTTACAGCATAGGCTCAGGCTACGTGACAGCCTTTGGGATTCCTTTCTTTATTGCATGCAAGGCCATTGGAGTTGATGGGTGGAGTCTTACACAAAACATGTATGTGTGCAGAATAGGGCCAGGATAGGTGGCAGCCTATGGGGTTTCATAAGCCCATGCATGTATCACGATTGGACAATAAGGGAGGCGCCATCTCACTTGGCGAAAGAGTACAAAAATGAATGGTGTCGCCACCCCATTTAGCAAATAAGAGGTGTCATTTGTTACAGCATAGGCTCAGGCTACGTGACAACCTTTGGGATTCCTTTCTTTATTGCATGCAAGGCCATTGGAGTTGATGGGTGGAGTCTTACACAAAACATGTATGTGTGCAGAATAGGGCCAGGATAG